GGTAGGTGTGGCTGACTCTTAACTTTTATAAAGAATATCTCTTTGGATTTGAGACTTTAGTCTTTGCAACTTTACAGATCTTCTTTATGCACCAAGAGCTTGTAACACTCTAAAGAGAAAGGAAAAATTTAAAAAGCATCATATGACCCCTTTAACTTCTTTCTTAAGAAAAGAAAATATGTTCTTAAAATAGTAGCGAATTTTTCAAAAATTACACTCAGAAACATTCTTACGAACTTAGAATTTATCTTAAGAAATGCCTTGGCTTCTTTATTTAGATAAAAAAACGTTCTTAAGAAAATATTTGCAAACTTTTCAATTATTGCAGTTGGGAACATTCTTACGAACCTCTTAGAATCGTATGAAATGTCTTAACTTCTTTCTAAAGAAGTTTCTTTCAAATAATTGATGCCACTGACTGTTATCATTTATTAACTCACCATTATGAGCTGGCTTTAGTTGGCTTTACCAGCATGTGTGAGCTTGTTTTGATATGAAGATGACTTACATCAAGCTTCTTGTGTTTTAAACGCCCCTCACAGCCCAGGAAACTCAGCGACAACCTGGTCCAGAACTTCTTACTTCCCGACCAAACTCCACCGATACTGGAAGCGGAGATGGCGCTTCGAACGGAGCAGCTGGTGAACGGGGAACGTGGCCGCCACACCGCATTGACAGAGAAGAAAACGTCCTCCCCCAGAAGGATAATGTCACCCGACCCAAAAAATCCAAAAACCGGCTCAAAGCCTACCACTCCAGAGGTCAGCCCCAGGACAGAGACAGCGAAATCTCCAGCACCACCACTGGAAAAAGAAGTGAAGAAAGAAGAAGTAAAGGTGCAACAGGAAGTTAAACCCCTGAAACAGGAAGTGCAAGAGCCTGAGTGTCAGATCACTGTAACCCCCGTAAGAGAGAAGCCCAAGGTTCCAGTGGTAGGTGGAACATTATAAATACACTAAACACATCACTGCTATTAGCATGATGCTTTACATGTGTCTCTAGCACCTTCACCTTCACCAAAAGTGATTGTTTTAGTCAAATTTTGGAAAATTTCTGACCATAGTCAAGTTTTTGTAAAGCTAAAAACATTTTGTGATGTTCTAGGGATCTAATAATTAAAAAATAATTTAACAAATAATAAGTTTATTAATATAACTGACTTATAATTGACACCAACTGAGACTTTCACATAATTGTGACTTTGTATCACAATGTGACTTAATATTTCACAGTGACTTTATCTCAATTGTCACAAAATGTTGAGGTTTTTTTTCTTACTCTAAACTTTCTCACCTATTTTATTTATTACTCTGATATGCAAGTCAGCTTAATATTCATAAAATCAAAACTAGATTTTATTTTGGTTATATTTTATTTTAAAATTTTCTCTCCCAGCAGAAATGGGTTATACTATGAGATTGCTGGTACTCACTTTAATAATATTTTGTATTATTGCTGTAAAAATTTTTTTTACATTACTTTTAACTTACTGTTTTCTCTTTCTCTTTCTCTCTGCAGAGGGATGTGTGGTATGAAGCTGGCAAAGTGTGGTATGCTCACAAAGACGGTTATACACTCGGTTAGTCACCTCTTACACCTGTGCTTGAGTGTCCACCTGACATTTAAGAGAACAAAATCTGTTGTTAATGACACATTGTTTGGTATTTTTTGTAGTTGTTGATCTGGTTTATCATTCCTGAATTTTACTAAGTCATGTCTGAACACTAGACCAGCTCTTCTGTAGTGTTGAGTTACAGGTTATTATTAGCTTGTTGTTTTAGAGGATGCTATTTACATGTGGCCTTATTATTATTTTTGGTACTATCCCAGAAGTCAGTGTTTTCATACTATGTAAAAGCCACCGCATTGCTTTCAGTGTCAGCTCTTGCTCCCGCATTTTAACTTCATATTGCTTAAAATATATCTCTTCTGGTGCAAGATTCTCTTTGCATGAAAAGATCGGAAAGGGCTCAGAGGCTAATCTTTTTGCTGATCGGATCTATGGTGCCGTTAGCTATTGCATTGCTTCAGTTTAGTGATGAATGGGTTTAGTGTTCTTATCTTATCAGGCTCATAGTCTCGCTAAATCTACGCGCCGAGGCTGCCATGTTACAAGATTCAAAGATTACTGCATACATCACACAGCACTTCAACAGTATCTTCATGAACCAAAAGCTGTCAGGCTCTAAAAAGAACAAAAGCGCCAATAAAATAGTTCATATGAGTTGTTGCACCAAGTTTGATGTGGCCAAAGCCACTGGTTTTCAGATGTCACAACCTTGTACACAAAATATTGGATTTACATTGAGTTTTACAGTGACCTTTGACCTGCCTGGCCTCTGATTTGTCTCAGCCACTCAGCTAAAGCCGGACGAAGGCACACCGGAACTCCCTGATGGCAGGGTGAGGGTTCGACTGGACTCTGATGGATCTGTCCATGACGTTTCCCAGTATGAGATTGAAAAGGTGAACTATTCAACGCTATTAACTAGGGGTGTAACGGTACACAAACATGATGGTTCGGTACATACCTCAGTTTTGACATAATGTTCAGTATGGGAAAAAAACATCAAATTACTTCTTTTTCATTTTAATTAAAGGGGTCATATGATGCGATTTCAAGTTTTCTTTTCTCTTTGGAGTGTTACAAGCTGTTCGTGAATAGATAAGATCCCTAAAGTTGCAAAGACTGAAGTCTCAAACCCAAAGAGATATTCTTTATAAAAGTTAAGACTCGTCCACGCCCTCCTAAAACGGCTCGTTCTAACACGCCCCCACATATCTACGTCACGATGTGGGAAGATTTGCATAACACCGCCCAAATGTTCACGCAAAGAAAGAAGGCGTAACTTTGATTAACTTAACTTTAACTTAACCACTTAAACAGTGGTTTACTGAACAAATTACTGCTCTCTTTAAATTCAATTATAGTCACAATTTTCTTAAGGATAAAAAAAATCTACCTCAGCTAATGCTTGAAAACTATATAGGAAGCCCTATTACGTGCACATTACTATAATACAATTACAATGAACTACAGATCCCGAACTATTAAATTCAAATGCTATTTTAGATATAATAATAAACACTAAAATAATAAAATTTTTATTCAAATATGTAAATTGCACATTAAGCTGTTTTTACATTAACATCTAAAGGTCATTGCACACTGAGTCCGAAATTTTCGCACATTAAAAAATAAATACGACCTCACGTTGTGTCAATCACATTTACACAGTGCCTCCGAAACTTTCGGCCATCATAAAAATATTGGGATCAGGTTCGATTTTCTGCGTTTTCGCATCCGTAGCAAGCATTTTGATAGGAAAGGATGACTCGGTGTGCAAGGACCTTAAATCTAATTACAAAATGTATGGCAGATTTACTTAAACATCTGTATTAAATAATTAAGGCATCACTAACAGGTTAAGTGAAATATAGGCTAATATACAGGTGCATCTAAATAAATTTGAATGTCGTGGAAAAGTTCATTTATTTCAGTAATTCAACTCAAATTGTGAAACTCGTGTATTAAATAAATTATATTTAGTGAAATGCTCTTCTCTAGACTTTATTTCTTTAGTGAACTAACGAGCTGTTGAAAATGAATGACTTTCCTAAGGTAAATGTAATGCTATATGACACTTTGTTTACAAGCTGTTTTATTGACGTTTTTCTGCGGTTGAAACACTGAATGAGCGATCACTTAAGACATGATACATTTCAGTTAGTTGTACTGTTTCTTTCAACATACCTTCCGAGGTTCATTCACGTTTATTTCATTTTAAAACTTGAGAGTAAAGAGAAAGGGATGATCGTGTTCACCCGCGCTGCCATTTGAACTGAGGCGCCAATACAGCGATCTCTCATGCCACATCAGAGAGCGTCAAAACGGCATTTATTGTTTGAATTTCATAATAAAATGGACAGAATCTGAAATATGAGACTTTGTTCTTATCAAAAGTAACAATGTCTAAAACTAGGAGTTTCAAATTAAGCTCGGCGCATGCAGTGGTTGGCATGACACTGTATTTGTTCGGTACACATGGATGTGTGTACAGTCAGTTTACTCCCCTACTTAAGTCATCCTCCTGATGTACGTGACTAGTGTTGACTTTTCTTGGTGGCTGTGTTCAGCTGAACCCACCTGAGCTGGACCTGTGTGAGGACTTGAGTGACCTCGTGAGCGTGAACGAGTCGAGCGTCCTTCACACTCTGACCAGTCGAGCTAAAGGACATCTACCCTTGACTCACGCTGGGCCCAATCTACTGGCTCTGTGGCCTCCACTGTCCTCGCCAGGCAAGGTAAGAGCAGTGTATTTACAAAACCATCAATGAGACCTGTATGATCACACATGTAGTTTGACATTAGTTAGAGTAGTTACATACAGCACATTAGTTGCACATTAGTCAGCAAATGTATAGACTAAATTAGTTTGCTTATAAAAATTAAAAAAAAGTACCATAGCATTTCTGTGTGTGTGTGTGTGTGTGTGTGTGTGTCTTTTTGTGTGTGGTTATAATACCATCAGGGTTTGGACTATTTAGAAATGAATTGAGAATGCCTTTTAAAATTCAGTTCAGTTGCTGAATTTCTATCAAGGTATTTGTACATTGAGGTATTTGTACCAGTCATTGTCCATAAATTATGAAATATTATAATATTTATATAATATACTGTGCATTGTTAAAATATATAGGTTATATTATATTATGTATTTATTAATATCAGTGGTAGGCTATTGTTATATATACATTTATTTTCTTTACTTTTTTTATTTATTTAATTAACTTTTATTAAAAAAAAATGTTTAAATAATAAATAAATGCATTTTAAATTCAGTTCAGTTGCTGAATTTTTATTTTTTTATTAAGGCATGTATGTATGTAACATAAAAAATACTTTATTACTCAGAATGCTGTAATTTCAAGATGAAGACTTTGATCCCACCACAGAACTTTTTTGTGAGGGTGTGAATTAGCTTTTTGAAATGTGTTTTGCTTCAGGGGCTTCGGAGCAGACGCTGGGAGTCCTGGGAGGCTCCTGGCCCACTGCAGGCTCTGGTGAGGAGGGTGTACGTGTCCATGGTGGGTCAGCGGAGGGACCAGACGCTGGTGGCTTTGGGCCGCAGTGGCACAGGGAAGACCACTTCCTGTCAGTCATTTTCCCAGGAGCTGCTGAAACAAGCGGGAACTGCGGGAGGAAGCCTTACCTGTGAGTGCATCCACTTCTGTGTTTGTAACCCAAAGCTATAGAACGACAGAAAACAAAAGCTCTCGAACGTGAATTTGCACACTGGTTGAATTGACTCATTGGAGCCTCTGGTGGTTACAGGCTCCTATCCTGTAATTACAAGTGTGACGTGTTTCGCTCCACTGAATCTGTGTGAATCTGCTTCTGCTGACGTTAAGTGATAGGTGAAACTCTATAGCAGCAGTTTAGAGGCTGTTTAGTGGTGTTTGTCCATTGTCACAGGTTGTGAGACATGATTTGTGTGTGTAACTGCAGTAGAGCGGCTCCAGGCAGTGTTTACAGTGCTGCGCTCGTTCGGATGTGTGAGCTCGTCTCACAGCGAGGCCTCGACTCGATTCGCTATGGTGCTCTCACTGGACTTTAACCACGCCGGACTCGCTGCTGCTGCACATCTGCAGGTGCTCCGATCTGTCCATCTGTTCATCTGTCTGTCTGTCTATCCATCTGCTCGTACATCTATCTATCTATCTATCGATCTATCTATCTGTCTCTCTGTCTTTTTGTTTGTTTGTTTGTTTGTTAGTTAGGGGTGGGTAATATGATCACAATCTTATATCACGATATGAGCAATTTTATGTGTCAGTAACGATATATCACGATATATATATTTTTGCTTTAAATAAGGTCTTTTATGATATCAAAATTGTTGATACCCTATAAATGTCATAATTCTTAAAAAAACAAACAAACTCAAGCTCACTGAAGACAAGTAAACAGTCAGCGATTAAAAAAAAGAGTAAGAAACTAATTGCAATCAATAGGACAAATAACTACAGTAGAACAAATAAATAAGAGATGCTACATACATTGTATAAAGTAATCAAATGTATAAAAACACTGCATTTTCTTCATGTGTAAATTAAATATACTATATATTTCTTCTTATTAAAGTTACAAAAGTGATTTAGTCAAAGAGCAGCGAGAGATTTTCTCTCTTTTGTTGTTTGATTAACATGAATGACAGACAGCAGGAAGATTAGACTGCTGTCACTTTAAGACCTGCCCGGATTCAATATACTGTTACACGTGTTTTCTTTCTTGGCTGTTTGCTGTCACTTAAGATCTAAGTTACTGTGTTTACGCGGATACTTGCAAAAACGGGCATTTTGACACATACAAGTGTGTGTATTTAACCGTTCAAGGCCTATAAAGCAGCACTATGAGCACCGTCTTCATGTGCGCGCACCTTTTTGACAGCATTCAGAAACAGTCTCTCAGGCGGCTCGCACATACAGTGAAATTAGTCATATTTCGCTGCTGATTGCATTTCAATGGCTTAAAATCACTTGTTTTTAAACCGTCATGCTTAAAAACCCATGCAAACTATACGTTTTCATGTCCACGTAGCACAGCAATGTCACGTGAGATCAGTCTATCTGTCTATCTATCTATCTATCTATCTATCTATCTATCTATCTATCTATCTATCTATCTGTCTATCTATCTGTCTGTCTGTCTGTCCATCCATCCATTTGTCTGTCTAGTCCATCTATTCTAACTAATGTTTCCTCTCTCTGGTTCAGACTATGCTGCTGGAGAAATGGAGGGTGTGTCAGAGGCCGGAGGGAGAGAGTAACTTCCTGGTTTTCTCCCAGATGCTCGCAGGCCTCAGCACAGACATGAGGTCAGTTGGGTCCCTGGAGCTCTCTGCGGTCACACTCGGTAGCATTTGCTTCTTGTATTGTGAAGCCTCTTTCTGGTTTCCTGGCTTCTGTCCTCACAAGCCTGAGTGCAGCGTTATTAGATGGCAAACACAAAGTTACCCATCATTAAACCCCAGATCATTCACCCTATTGTTAGGGGTTTGTTTTTGGATTCGGTTTCCCCTCAGAGGCACACACAAGCTCTTTAGCGAACGCCGCTTTGGCAGAACACCTGCTCTTTTCATAGCTTTGCCTTAAAACAAAAGCTCCAGAGAGCTTGGGGGGGGCAGGATCTTGTCTGATGTCATTTCCTGTTTAAATTTGAGTGTAACTGTCTTGTTTTCTAATCACAGGACTGAACTGCAGCTGCACCAGTTAAAGGAACACAACTCATTTGGAATTTCATGCCCAACCAAGGTATGAACTGTTTAAGAAAAGCAAAACCAAAAAATATAAGGGTAAACAAAGTAAATGTTTAGATTAACATGATTAGTGCATCTGCTCTGACATGTTAAGCTTTGGTGCACATGTGGGAAACAAACGTTTATGTCTGGCTTGCAACATTTCCTGATCCTCTTCTCTCCACATCTACCCACAATTCCATCCAATAAAGAGAAAAAAAGCATAAATTAATTTAAATTAAGATTCAGTTTAAACTGAATTACATTAAGTAACTCAGTTTCAATTAAATGATCAAATTAAATGTAACTCGATTTAAATTAAATGTAAATGAAATTAAATCGATAAGTTACTTTTAAAGGTGCTATATATAAAAAAGTTATTTTTATTAGTATTATTAAATTTATGTTTTTAGTTCAACTAAAAATTATAATTGTTTACATTGCTGCCCAACAATATATTAAAAGTTGGATCTACATCCAATTTTATCTACATACATACAGTAACAAGTGACGTGACATGTGGCCAAGTATTCACACAGCAGTGAACACACACACACACACCGTGAACACACACCCGGAGCAGTGGGCAGCCATTTTTTTGCTGCGGCGCCCGGGGAGTAGTTGGGGGTTCGGTGCCTTGCTCGAGGGCACCTCAGTCGTGCTATTGAAGGTAGGAGAGAGCACTGTACATTCACTCCCCCCACCTACAATCCCTGCCGGTACGAGGCTCGAACCCACAACTTTTGGGTTATGAGTCCAACTCTCTAACCATTAGGCCACGACTTCCCCCAGTATACTAACATAAAGCAATATATAAAACATAGCAAATCTCAACTTCTTGATTGTTTATATTTTTGCAAAATGTCAACTATATTATCGGCCAGCTCTAATCTGCTAAATGTGACTTAAGATATTAAAACCTTTAAAAATTTGTATTGTGAAAAGCGCTATACAAATAAACTTGATTTTAATATTTAATAACTAAATAATGTATCATTTGTTTTTCGTTTTTGGCACTATTATTGATATAATACAACAGAAATTAGACAGACTGGACTTGAACCTGAGCACCAAGGCTCAAAGTGTCTTGCAGATGTGTGTTCTGACGTCAACTTTTCTTTAATACGTTTTAATAAAGCTGGTTTTTCATCCTTCTCTTCAGGTGGATGAAAAGCAGAGAGCTTCAGTGGGTTTTGGGAAGCTACTGGCCGCCATGAACACTTTAGGATTCTCAGCGGATGAGCAGAAGGCCATTTGGCATGTTTTGGCAGGAATCTACCATCTCGGCGTCGCAGGAACATGCAAGGGTAAATCAGGACAAGACTTGCGGCTGTATTTTGTCAAGCGAAAAGTATTAGGTGAGTCTTTACTCTGTTTTTCTGTTCTTGCGCGGCTTCAGTGGGTCGTAAGCAGTTTATGAGTTTTGACAGCGCGCAGACGGCCAGCGCCATCCTGGGTTGTGAGGGAGAGGAGCTCCACACTGCCGTCTTCAAACACCACCTGAGGCAGTTACTGCAGAGAGCCACCGGAGGCGTCAGAGAGCGCCGCACCGCAGAGGAACCAGAGGACGGTCAGAAATACACACTGAACTCTGTTAAACCCACCAGAATCTGAGAAGATCTCAGCTAAAATGTGTAGAGAGGAACTAGAGAGAATGTACTGGACACTTATTATTTGGATATTTACCAAATCAATTAAATATTGTTCTTATGACATTTTTATTATTCAGTTGATGAGGGCTGGGGCTATTAAAGGAACACTCCACTATTTTTGAAAATAGGCTCATTTTCCAACTCCCCTAGAGTTAAACAGTTGAGTTTTACCGTTTTCGAATCCATTCAGCCGATCTCCGGGTCTGGCGGTAGCACTTTTAGCTGTAGCATAGCATAGATCATTGAATCTGATTAGGCCGTTAGCATCTCGCTCAAAAATGACGTGGTATGGCAGCAAAGTTCCTTGATTATTACGCCGGAATGAGAGAATAGTTCCTAGCCATATCAGCCTAGAAAATCGCAACTTTTCATTTTCCGTCGGTCTTAGTACACGATGTAACTACAGAAGAATCAAGTTTTAAATAGGAAAAATATCTAATCTCTTTGGTCGTTTTTGAGCGAGATGCTAACGGTCTAATCAGATTCAATGATCTATGCTAAGCTGCAGCTAAAAATGCTACCGCTAGACCCGGAGATCGGCTGAATGGATTCGAAAACGGTAAAACTCAACTGTTTAACTCTAGGGGAGTTGGAAAATGAGCCTATTTTCAAAAATAGTGGAGTGTTCCTTTAAGCAGTTTAGCATCATTATAAAAAGATATTTGACCACAGAATGGTGATCAGTTAGAAACAATTATTTCTGGAAGCCACATATTAAAACCAAGTTAGAACCAATAATGTTGCTTCTGTTTTATAATATAAAAACTAATTATATAAATGTATATGTATTATTTAATATGTAGTCATATTTTTCTTTCTAATTCTGGGATACACTACTATTAAAAAAAATTTCAGGTGTTTTTGTTGTTGTTTTTTGCTGCTTAACATTTTTGTGGAAATGTGATACATTTTTTCAGCATTCCTAAATGAATAGAAAGTTCAAAAGAACAGCATTTATTTTAAATAAATCTTTGTAACATTATAAATGTCTTTACTGTCACTTTTGATCAAATTAATGCATCACTGCTGAATAAAAGTATTCATTTTTTCTTTCTTTTCTTTCCTTTTTTTAATCTCTCTTAGCCCAAACTTCCAAACTTTTAGTTGGTAATGTATCACTGTTTCCACAAAAATATGAAGGAACACAACTGTTTTCAACATTGTTAATAATATGAAATGTTTCTTGAGCAGCAAATCCGTATATTAGAATGATTTCTGAAGGATCATGTGACACTAATGATGCTGAAAATTCAGCTTTGCATCACAGAAATAAATTACCTTTTAAAATATATTCAAATAGAAAACAGTGATTTGAAATTGTAATAATATTTCACAATATCACTGTTTTTATTGTATTTTGATCAAATAAATACAGCCTTGGTGAGCAAAAGAAACTTCTTTTAAAAACATCTCTAAAAAAATCTTAATAATTCAAAAGTTAGCAAAATCATACACAAGCTCTATTTAATTAAGGATTTCCTAAAAAGGAAAATATGTCAACTGTGTGTGTGTTTCAGGTCCGAGACTGAGTGCCGCTCAGTGTGTAGAAGGGATGGCAGCTGGTCTGTATGAGGAGCTCTTCACCTCTATTGTGTCCCTCATCAACAGGTAAACACACTGTTCAGTGATAGTTATATCTCTCTTGAGTGATCTAGCAGTGTTTCCCAGGCTTTCTCTGGTTCTCTCTCCAGAGCACTGCACTCTCAGCAGCTGACGCTGGCCTCTGTGATCGTGGTGGACACTCCGGGCCTGAGGAACCCCAGACACAGCGGTGACGACCGGGCCGCCGGCTTCTCTGAGCTCTGTCACAATTACTTACAGGAGAGGCTGCTGGAGCATTACTTCAGCCACACATTCACACACACGCTGGAGAGATACACACAGGTACACACACCGTCCCAAACCACTACAGAGATACGTTAGATGTTCTAGTGTTATGTCTCAAAAAATATTACATGTGAATATGAACCTTGCTGATTTCATTTAAATTGAATTTTGTTTAAAAAGTAATATATTAAATAATGTATAAATAATAATATTTATCATTTCTGTATGTTTTACTGACATGTTGTTATTTGGTCAATAAACTCTCTAAAAATGTTATCTGACAATCGCAAACAAATATTGGATGTTTGTTGTTGACAATCTCAAACAATTGTTATTATTAATTGAATTGAATTGAATTGAATTGAAAGTAAAGTATCATTCCTATATATATTTATAACTTCTATTTCTGTGTGTTAGACTGCCATTTTACTATTTGTTCAATGAACTCGATGTAAAAATACCATATCTGTCATTTTTTATGGCACCACATAATTAATATTTTTGGGGGGTTTTGTGGGGGGGGCATTTTTATTGACAACCTCCAAAACATGGTCATGATTTTTGTTATTGACAACTGTGAAGAAACATTGAGTATGAACCTTGCTGATTTAATTTAATTTCATTAAATAAATAATATAATGATACAAAATAATATATAAAATGACATTCCTGTCCATACTTTATAACTTTTATTTCTGTACTGCCATTTTTCTATTTAGTCAGTAAATTAAATCTAAAAATACCTAATTTTCATGGCACGAAATATTGCTTTTTTGGCAATTTTATTCACAACCTCAAACAAATATTGACTATTAATATAAAATATTGAATGTGATTAATATAATTAAATTGAACTTTAAATAAGTTTGATTTATTACTTTATTTAAAAAATAATACAAAATAATAATGTAATGAATAAATTAATATATAAAATAATAATTAATATAACATTCCTATGCATATTTATATCTCTTTCATTTCTGCATGCTTTACTGTCATTTTGTTGTTTGGTCAACTATATCTAAAAACTTTTTTCTTATGCAACTTTTTTGGCCTCTTTATTTGATGCAATAGTGGAGAGATGACAAGAAATGACATTTTTAATTTCAGATCATTATTAAGTTTCTGAGTAATTTTCACAGGAGGGAGTAGCTGTCGATTTCACAGCCCCTGAGACGAGCCCGTCAGAGGTGTTGTGTGCTGTTGACCAGCCTGGAGTGCAGGTATCACTCACCGATCCTCAGCACACTCCTTACACTCGTCAGTCACGCGTGTAGTTTCACAGTGTGCGTTCTCAGGTTCGAGGACCAGAAGGCGACTCTCGAGGTCTCCTGTGGGTTCTGGATGAAGAGATGGTCACTCCGGGCTCCACCGAGAGCACAGTTCTGGAAAGAGTGTGTCAGTTCTTCAGCGGCACAGGTGCTCCAGCCTGATCCTGACCTGCTGCTTTCATGTTTTTTGAGATGTTTCCTCAGGTCTCATCTTTCTGCTCGCTTGCTCCTCAGTGCGCCAGTGCGAGCAGCCTCTGCAGTGTGAGATCGCTCACCTGATGGGTTCAGATCCAGTCCGCTATGATCTCTCAGGCTGGTTCGGTCAGGTCCAGAACAACCCCTCTGTCCTTAACGCCAGTTCCCTCCTGCAGAACTCCTCAATGTAAGAGACTGCAGATGATCACAGACGTTTACACTGCTGTAGATGACCTCTAGTAGATAATATTCTGAATATTGAACTTTGCCAATTCAATTTTAAATAAATTGTTTACTATTCATTAGTATTACTAAAATATTCATTATAATATTAAATATAAATATAATATAATATTAAAATTTTCATTAATCTCTCCAATTTTATATAAAGGTGCCAAGAAAAATAGCAGGTATGATATTTATAAATAATTTATAGAACAAATACCAAAAATGGTAGTAAAACATAAGGAAATACATGTAGATGTTATAAATATGTGTGATTTTTTTTTGTTTGTTTGTTTTGTGTTGTGTTGTGTTGTTTTGTTTTGTTTTTTGTTTTTTGTTTTGTGTTGTTTTGTTGTTTTGTTTTGTTTTGTTTGCACTGTTGAGCTTTTCCTTGATGCACAAGAGCTTTTCCTCAAATAAAATTCTTAATATTGGATCTTGCAAATTAAAATAAAATGTTCAAGTTTTTATTTTATTTTATTTTATTCAGTGCTGTATGGTTGACTTCTAAAAGTGCTTGCATACAAGGGCTTTTCCTCAATACAATTCTGAATATTTAATCTTGCAAAATTAAAATAAAATGTTAAAGGTATTTCTGAAAGTTATTGATAATTTAACATTATTCATGAGTATTATTAAAATATTACTTATATTAAAATATTGAATATGTTTGGTTCATGTGAACTAATATATATAATAAAATATATATTAGAAAATATATTAGAAAATAAAAGGTTATATAATACGTTTTATTTCAGAAAATGAAATAAAATAAAATAAAAATATTTTATTTTTATTAATATTTTTTTATTTTTTTTTATTTTATCATCTGGTGTTTGGTTCATGTGAATTAGTGTGACAACAGTCCATCCTTAACCACAGAAGTGACATTTATGACATATAATCAGCATTTTTGCATTCTTCCACATCTCATTTAATATAGTATAATGCATTTCTCATAGCTGCTTGTCACTGAATAAATTGCTGTTGGAAAGCATCTCACATTCTACCCATCTTTTGCGCTACGTCTACAGAAGACAAACGCAAATGCTGTGCGTGTTCAGTTTTGGTGATAAATCCAATTCAAAATCACAGTGAAACTGGTGTCTTGTCCTTCTGAACTGTTACCTAGCAACAGGGATAAACATCTGCTGCTAGTGCTCACAATGGTATTCACGCTGATGACGCAAACGTGCCGCAATAAAGACAAGTGTGAATACAGACGGCATCAGTGTGAGGGCTACCATGAGCTTGGTGTCGACAACTTTTAGAAAAAAGTGCTTGTTTGATTTCCATTTTTGTTCTTTTTTAGTTGTACTAAAAATGCATAGCAAGCGATGAAAAGAATTCATGCTGCTCACTAAACACAGTTCCTCTGTAGAAATGCAGCATACAACATTAATACTGTTGTAGTTTATGTGTACAAACCATGCCAGATTGCTTTCATAACAGCTGGAAACCACACTGGAGTGCACATGAACTTAAAACTAATTATATTGTTTAATTGTATAATTTAAAAAAAACAACAACTAATTTTTAAATGAAAATAAAATTATAAAATTAAATAAAATACATATTACCACCTATATTTATAATTAATATATAACTAACTTTTTTTTCGCATTTTAATTTGCAAAGTTCAATATTCAGATGTTTATTTGAGCAAAACCTCTAGTATGAAAGTGTCCTTAGAAACTTTATAATTAAATAACATGACATTGAATTGTATTACATACATTACATTTAAAAAAATGACCACCCATATTTATAAATTCTACCATTTTGCTTTTTGTTCTGCAAACTATATCTAGAGATGATTTAAAACTCATTTAACTTGAAAGACATTCAATTGTTTAATCTAATTGTTTAAAAAAACTTAAATTAAGATGAAAATAAAATTAAAAATATTTACTGTATAACAAGCATTTTGATATTTGTTCTCTAAACTATATCTAGTGATGCCATATCTGGCACCATATACTATTTCTTTGGCAATTTTATTGATTTTTAATAATAGAGAGGTAACAGGAAATCAACATTTTATTAATATTAATGACTTTTACGTTATCAGTACTGTAGTAGGTTATGTGTAACGTTATAATACGGAATAGACGTTAATTTGAAAAAAAAAAATGTAATTGTTTAATTTAATTGTTTTAAATTTATTTAATTTTATAAATGTTTAATTTCATTAATTATTGCCATTTTTCTACGCTTTTAAGCTATGTCTGGAAATACTATATGTGTTTTTTTCATGGCACCACATGCTTTTTTTGCCACTTTTATTGATATAATGGAGAGATGTCAGTAAATTAAATTTTTATTAATACTAATGACTTTTATATCATCAGTACTGTAGTTCATGTGTACTAAACATGCCACATGGCTTTCATACCATTTGTAAACCTCACTGGAGTGCACATGAACTTGAAAAAAATGCTTCCTAACCAATTAAAAACAAACCGAATTATGAAGTCAAACGGATGTGGGTTCATACTAACAACTCCCTAATTCTCTTCTCCTTCTCCCTCTTGTTCCCCTTCTTAGTGGAGCGGTGAAGGCCCTGTTCAGTGGGCGGGCGTCCGTGCCGCCTCTGTGCCGGGGTTTGGGAGGTGTGGAGGGCGGCTCGCAGCGCTCTCTGGAGAGATGCGGCACGGTGCGGAAGACTCTGAGCGGTGGGATGGCGGCCCTCAGGAGACATTCGCAGTGCATCGCCGTCAAACTGCAGGCGGTGAGAAACAAATGAGCCAGCCGTTTCCATCTGCCTTTTGTCTGTAAATCCTCTTGACTCTTTCCGTGACTCTCTCTCTCTGAGCAGGATGCTCTGGTGAATCTGATTCGGCGAGCGCGGCCGGTCTTCCTGCAGTGTTTGAGTGTGAAGACAGATGGCTGTGGCTTTGATGTCCCAGCACTGCGTGTACAGCTGCACTCCACACACCTGCTGCCGGCACTGCAGCTGTACCGAACAGGTCACACACACACACACACACTCATGCATGTTTGTTTCTTATCATGTATGAGACTCTAATGACTTCTGTTGTACTTCATTAAAGCCAATTAGTTGCAAGTATCTCTATATCTGTTTGTTTGCTGAGAAGTTACTCACCCCCAGGCCTTCCAAGATGCAGATGAGTTTGTTTTTTCGTCAGAACAGATTTGGAGAAATTCAGCAGCTAGCACCCAGTGAATGGGTGCCGTCAGAATGAGAGTCCAAACAGCTGATAAAAACATAACAATAATCCACAAGTAATCCGCATTACTCCAGCCCATCAATTAACATATTGTGAAGAGAAAAGCTGCATGTTTATAAGAAACAAATTCATCATTAAGGCGTGTTTAGCTTTAAAACTCCAAAATACAAGTCCATAAAAAAATATGAGTCTTCCTCCAGTGAAAAAGTCCATCCACTGTTGTCCTCTCACATCAAAATCCACTGATGTATTTGTTTAGAACTGTATTGCAGCTTGGTTTTCGCTTTTACTAAACAGTGCTTAATCTGTGCATATTTCTCTTCTGATTCAGATGAGACGACTTTTCACTGAAGAAAGCAATATTGTAGATTAGGGAATCCATTATGATTTAAAGTTAAAAACATGTAAATGATGGATTTGATTCTTACAAAAATGAAGCTTTTCTCTTCACAAGATGTTAATTGATGGACTGGAGTGGTGTGGATTATTGTGATGTTTTTATCAGCTGTTTGGACTCTCATTCTGACGGCACCCATTCACTGCAGAGGATCCATTGGTGAGCAAGTGATGTAATGCTACATTTCTCCAAATCTTTTCTGATGAAGAAACAAACCCATCTAGATCTTGGATGGCCTGAGGGTGAGGACATTTTCAACACATTTTCAGTTTTGGGTGAACTGTTTCTTTAAGATTGGAGATTTTAACCATTTGTGGTAAAGTCATGATTGATTGCTCAGGTTGTGTGCTGCATCTCAAACATACTGAACATATGAAGCAGTTCTCCTCGTAAAAACCAAAATCAGGTCCCATATTGTATTGTCAATTACCAAATGTCCTTTCAAAGACAGCAAGCTCTGTCTCTGTGTCTGTGTGTTGCAGGCTACCCTGAGCACAGGTCCCTGGGTGATTTCCGGTGTCGTTTTCAGGCCCTCTCTGCTCCCATAATGAAGCGATACGGTTCTGTCTTCATTACCCCAGACGAGAGGAAGGTCTGGACGTCCTGAATCACCATGGCGCACACGCACCTCATTACCCTCTGTTAAAATGTCATTTATTTTTAATGATGTCAAATGATTAAATTATTTATTTCCCTGTTTATTAACTTGTTTATTGATTAGCCAGTTTTTGCTTGAACAGCCCTCATTGATTCAGGGAGCTGCTGTTCCAAAAGTGGGCCTGAGCTCTGTTTGTTTGTGTTTGCATCCCTTTATATCAGGCTGTGGAGGAATTATTGATTGATCTGGATTTGGACAAGAAAAGCATTGTTTTAGGAGCGAGCAGGGTGAGCCAGTCATCCATCCATCCATCCATCCATTCATCCATCCATCCATCTATCTATCTATCTGTCTATCTATAATAATCAAGATGTACCTGTAACATACACAGGTTTTATTTCATCCTTCACTTCTGAAGTTTTCAGGTCATTCTCACTCTGATGTGTGTGTTTATGAAGGTGTTTATGAAGCGTGGTGTCCTGAAGTCTTTAGATCAGCAGAGAGATCAGTTGTTGAGCGGCTGGCTGGTGCAGCTTCAAGCGTCCTGTCTGGGTCATCTGGGCCGCCAGAAATACCGCCGCATGAAGGTGAGTCTCGTTTGTCCTCTGCTAGAACAGCCCATGTTTATAGATCTGCGGATATGGGCTCAGAGATGACTCTCTGTAGTGATGTTTCTCTTTATAGGGACCTAATGTTCAGTGAGAGGAAGTAAAATGGACAATCAAACAAAATGATGACATCTCTGCTGCAATATTACTTGATTAACTTCAGGGGGGAAATTTAATTCTTGGAAAGGTGTAAAATACGGCTTTTAATGGCCTTTAGTAATAGCGCTACAATGTTGTGTATAGTTGTGTCAGTGTGGGTCTGATTCAGCGTCTAATGTGAGTGCTGATCTGGGATCAGGTTCAGCAGATGGCAGTGAGCTGTATTCAGAGAAATGTGCGAGTCCTCACTGCAGTGGCCCGCTGGAGCTGGTGGAAGGTGCTGTGCAGAGTGCGCCCCCTTCTGGATGTCAACATGGATGACCAGCGGCTCAGATCCAAAGAGGTACTAACACATTCACAAAGGACATGTTCATATTATACATCATATTTAAACCTCTAAATAATCTAAAACTGTCCAGTAATCATCTGTACAATGATAGTTGTGTAATTAAAGTACATATGTGCAACAAAAATGAAAAATATGTGCAACTGTCAAAATTTTACTTAATTTCTTTATTTTTATTTTTATTTTTTGTTCTCTATCTATCTATCTATCTATCTATCTATCTATCTGTCTGTCTGTCTGTCTGTCTCTGTCTCTCTCTCTGTCTGTCTGTCTCTGTCTCTCTCTCTCTCTGTCTGTCTGTCTGTCAGTCTGTCTGTCTGTCTGTCTGTCTATCTATCTATCTATCTCTCTGTCTGTCT